TCCTGATTAGCTGGATTTACAGGCAGGCATCTCACTAGCCTAAATGTTCATTTACATCTTCATTTTCTAACCAAAATCAGGTCTTCTGTGCTTTGCCTACAGATAAGTTCTAAAAGTTTATTTATTTATCTATTTTTTTGGTAAATAAATAAATAAAAACCTAGGGTCAATTAACCACTGAGCCTTTTTGATTTTTTATTTTGAGACAGAGTTTCTCTACGTTGCTCAGGGTTTCCATAAATTGCTGAGGCTGGCCTTGAACTTTCAATCCTCCTGCCTCAGCCTCTCAAGTCTCTGGGAGTCCATCAGATTCTAAAAGTTTAAATTCAATACATAGTGTTTAGATTTTGTTAAAATGTAAATATTTTACATTTATCACAGAGCCACACAATATTCCATACTAATTTCCTTTCATTTATTTTTTTAGTTTTTCGTTTCCTCGGTGTCTTAGAATGAGTTCTGTTGCCAATAACCCAATATCACAAGAAGTTATACAGAAAAGTGGTGTATTGCGGCTCATGGTTCTGGCCCCAGGTCAAGGGCTGAATCTACGGATGGTCTTGCTGGCAGAGTCAGTCAGGAGTCAAGGCAGCACAGGGCAAGACACAGTGAGAGTGCATGAGAGACCCCACCAAACTGGCATTATAGCAGATCCTTTCTCAAGATAATCCATTAATCCATTTATCCATTAATTGCATAAATGGATGAATGACTTCCTGAAGGGCCATCTGTTTCCGCCTCTTAATATCTTATAATGGTATTAAATTTTAATGAGAGTTTAAGAGGGAACAATCCACTTTCAGACCTTGGCCCTGAGTACAGGTCCTCCTTTTCCCCAGGGACCTGTCACCCAGAGCCCTCTGCCCTTCTGCGCTCATCTGGGCTGTGACTTTTCTGCCCCATTGCTGTTGAATTGGGACTTCTTCCTTTCACTTTTCTCTTTTTCGTCTTTGTTTATGCTTTCATTTTGCTCTGCCACATCGATAGCAGGAACTTAGAGAGGCTGCCTTGGCGAAATGCAGACTGTGTCTGGGGCCTGCAGATACCCCGGTGGGGGGTGGGGGTTAACTGAAAGCAGGAGGAAGCTTGGCGTTCTCTGCCTTCATTTTGTGTGTCTTCAAATTCCTGCTCAGCTCTGCACATAAGCATGTTAATCATTTAAGGTGTGTTCATCTGAAAACAAGTCATACAAGACTGATTAGCCCTGAATTTACTTAACCTATCTTGTCGTCCTTTAAGGCCAAGGCAGGATTTGCAGGGACATTTGTACTGCCCTGCGTTAGACCCCTCGTGTGGCACTTAGAAGTCTCCAGTCATTGCCTTAGGTTTTCTCAGAGCAGCAGAGCCTTGCAGGCAGACCACTCCCATATGAGGCTGTCCCGCTAAACAGGAGCACATCTCATGGGAACTGAACTGACCCTTTTCAGAACCACAGACCTGACAGAGCAACAAGAGGAAATTACCTGTTCTCCTCCGGAGCCACCTTGCAGAACCAGAACTGAGATAATGATCAACCAGAGCACAGTTTGACCAAGACTGCCTACTAGGAATGCCTCTCACCCCCTGATCTGACCCTTCCTCCATTTAAACCTCAAGTTCACACGAACACCCGCAAGACAGGGTGGAAATGCTCGACCTCACTGTGCCTTCTCAGTACTGCCATATCGATTCGATTCAAGTTCCTTTCTGCTTTTTAACTATTACTTTTTCTGTTTGGATTTTGGAGTGAGTGGCTAGACCTGGTTTGTTGGAACAACCAGAGTCAGGCCTCTGGACTCCAGTAACATCTTCAAGTAATTTCTCAAGAAGGGATGTTTATTATGTACATCTTCTGAGCCCTTTTTACCTCAGAGTGTCATTGTCCTACCCTCATATCTGAATGGCAGTTTGGACAGAAATGTAAAACTCTTGGTTAAATATTGTCTTTGTCAGCTAGATGTGGTGGTACACACCTGTGATTTTAGTGACTCAGGAGGCTGAGATAGGAGGATGGCAAATTCAAGGTCAGCCTCAGCAACATAGTGAGACCCTGTCTCAAACAAACACACAAAAAAATTTTAAAGGACTGAGAATGTAGCTCAGTGTTAAACACTCCTGGGAGAGAGAAAGAAAGAAAGAAAGAAAGAAAGAGAGAGAGAGAGAGAGAGAGAGAGAGAGAGAGAGGGAG